TTAACAAGGATGCTTTTTTGTCTTGGATCAGCCACTTTCAACCACATCAGCATACTGCCAGTGATAGGTTGCTAACTGATGATGCCTACTGTATACTAAACCTTAACTTTTGATGTGTATATCTGCTTTGTTTTAGGACAATTTGTGTTAATAAAGAGCAGGGGTTCAGAGACTCAGAGAACTTGGTTACTAAAGCTAAGCCCTCCTCTGGCTCCCCCATGGATTACAAATTTATATTTCTAGTCTCTTTATTAGTTTACATGCAGCACCTTCTCTAGATTCCTGAACCCTTCTAGATTCCTGAACCCTTTTAGATGATGGATACCACCCTGGCATTAAATGACATCTGGGACAAGGACACCTGGAGAAGAAATTTCACCTGAGCAGACAAAACAGCACTGGTAATGGTGGTAAGACTCACTATGTGTAAAACTGGTACAAAGCCCTGGAAGTCACAAACCAGAGTGGGCAAGAAAAGTCTTTTAAGTCAGATTATAATGGGGAAGAATTCAGTTCTAAGGCAAAATTATAAAGAAATTGGAATACCTAAAGGCATTTTTTAAAATCAGGCTCTAGAAAGAGTGCTGTTATCATATTTAATTATGTGGCTTCTTGTTCAAATTGAAATCCTGATTCATATTTGGTATGGAAAGTATATAATTTCTAAACAGTAGCCAGATCCTCTGCCCCTGGAGAGGAAAGGCTGGGCAGCTAGAGAGATTAAAGCTGTCAGCCCTCTCCCCGAGAGATTCTTTAATGCTTTGTTTTAAAAATTACCCAAGAACATGTGGAGGTATTATTGATATGAGAAAATGCTAAGTAACAGATTTACTATCTGAAAAGGGATTTACTGTCTGGGAAAGGGAGGGAGGAAGAGACTGAACATAAACTGTGCACCTATGGATGAGGACATGGGGGATGGGGAGGGGGCAGAGGGTGGGGTGGAAACCTGGTGGAGGGGGGAAGAAATGAGGAACCTTTGTAATAATATGAACAATAAAGATTGATTTAAAATAAAATAAAATAATATAAAAATAAAAATTACCCAAGAACACATTGGGACAGGCAAATGTTGGCAAGAATAACTCTAAAAGCTTGCTATTAATATGGAAAGCAAAATAGGAAATAATTCAAAATCTGTCTTTTTCTGTTAAGCATGCCTTTAATTTAATTGGGAAAAAGAATTGAGGCAGAATCATGTACTGAATTTTCCCAGAGCAAACATGAGGTGAGGGAAGGGAGACACGTGGTGATCCTATAAGATGGACCCCCACTCCCGAGTGTGCTAAGAAAAGTCTAATTTTCACCATGATTTTTCTTTCCTGATTCATAATTTAAAAGTTTTACAGAATTTACCATAGTAAATGCCTTAATGATTATAATTGGCTATAGAATCTCAAAATTGTTGAAATATAGATAAATAATATCTATACTAATAATATCTATGCTTTTTAGACCGGGATACCTTCGGGACCTCCTTCTGGACAAAGCCATGGTGGTTGGGCTAAGGCAGAGTTGGGTAGGGGTGATCAGGCTGGGAGGCAGTTGGGGGCTGATCAGGCAGGCAGGGGGAGCAGTTGTGGGGGAGAAGCCTGGCAGTTGGGGGCAGTTGGGCGCAATCAGGGTGGCAGAGGGGGCAGTTGGGGACAAGCAGGTTGGCAGGGGGGCAGTTGGTGGTAAGGACGCTGGCAGGAATGGGCAGTTGGGGGCAAGCAAACCAGCAATTAGGGCAGTTGGGGGTTAGAAGGCTGGTGGGGGGTGCAGTTGGGGATAAGCAAGCCAGCAGGCAGAGTAGTTAGGGACAATAAGGCAGGCAGGTGAGTGGTTAGGAGCCAGAGGTTCAGAATTGCCAGAAGGATCCCAGATTGAAGAGGGTGCAGTCTGGACTGAAGGACATCTGGCCTTGCACCCGTGCACAAATTTCATGCACAGGGATACTTAGTATTAATTATAAAGGTCCTTATTGAAGAGGAGGCTGGGCTAGTTGCACTTCCTCCAGCAGAAAAAAACATGGTTGTTTTTAAATCAAGCAGAAAAATATGCAATGAATCCAGAGCAGTCATATTTCTGTGCAAAGAATTAAAAGCTATTAAGACTGCATTTCATGATTTCCATAAGCCACTTATATTATTTAAATAAAAAAGAGGGGATAGTAGAATAATTTCCTGTAAGTAAATTATATCAAGAAAGTTTTTACTTTAAAATTATTTTTTTCACTTGTAATGCTGATGGTAAGACACCCATGAAAACACACATGGTGTCAGAATAAGCCAAAGGAAAATTGTTTGAACAAAAATCAAAAGATCCTGAGTTCTAGATTATAGAAAAGATTCCTTTATCAACCTTTATTTGAGAATATGCTTATATATTTCCAGAAAACTTCTCCAAGCCCATGTGGATTCCTGCAACAATAGATCTGAGAGAGAAACTAATCAGACTACTCCAGCCAAAGATAGCAATGGCCCCAAGCAACACCCTGACAAGACAAAGGAGAAACAGTGCAGAGGTGGAGAAGATAAAGACTCCTTGCCTTGCTGGCAGCCAGCAGCTGTGTGTCACCAGGACCAAGCCAAAGAAGGTCTGACCTGCAATTGCTCACCATTTGTCCACCATCCAGAACTGAAACATCGTTGCTGACACGTACACATAAGAAACTGTTGGACATTGAAAAAAAAGACTCAAAGAACTGTTGGCCCAGAAAGAAACTTACTGCAGACTGATTCCTTTGATACCTGACAGCAATTTCAAGGGACATGATAGAACTCTATACTTTCCATTGAATTTAAAAATCTTTAAGGACCCAAGCTCTATAAATGACATATATTCTTGTTAAATTTATAAAATAAAAAAGGGTGATATGCTGGAGGCTAATTCCAGCATATAAGGGCAAGAAGTTTCATCGAAAGGTTGATAGAACCTTGAGGCTTAAGCAGGGCTGAAGGTACATATTATTGCTTAACTGAAGTAGCTGAAAAGCATTTCCCCAAACCTGAAAAAGATGCCTAAATGATTGCTTGCTGCCAGACAGCTGAGGGCATTTTAATCTACATGTTATTGCCTCCTGCTGGCCAAACACCTGAACAGCCAAAGGCAGTTTCCCCAAACTGACAATTCCTACTGTATTCTAAACTTTAACCTTTGATATGTATATCTGTTTTATTTTAGGACAATTTGTGTTAATAAAGAGCAGGGGTCTAGAGACTCAGAGAATTTGGCTACTGAAGCTAAGGCCTCCTCTGGCTCCCCTATGGTTTACAAATTTATATTATATTTCTAGTCTCTTTATTAATTTACATGTAGCACCTTCTCCAGATTCCTGAATCCTTCTAGATGCTGGAGAAAGACCCTGGCATATTTCATCTCTTGTGTGTGTCACAGTGGAAAAAAATACTAAACAAACAATTCTAGGAATTATGGTCTTAAATGATGAAACAGGTTTACTACATTTTTATATTTTTAAATATGTTTTTATTGATTTTCAGAGAGAGAGAGAGAAACATCAATGAAAAAGAATCATCAATTGGCTGCCTCCTGCATGGCCCCCACTGGGGATTGATCCCAAAACCTGGGTATGTGCCCTAACTGGGAATTGAACTGGCAACCTCTTGGTGCATGGGTTGATGCTCAAGCACTGAGCCATGGCGACCAGGCAGTTTGCTACATTTTTAAACTATACCTAGATAAACTCAATGTCCAATTTGAACATAAACACTTAATAAATGTAAGAGTAGTGAAGTGTGATTGTCAGAGATAGAAATGGAGTTGGATAAGTTTATGCTAGTAAATTTGAGCAAAAGGAATGTATTAATTGAAATATAGGGTAGGTAAGACTGGCTGCATGAAAACCCAGAAGGGAGAAATCTATGTAGATAACCCAGGAATGGCAGAGAAGATGCTGTAGGAGTCACTCAGATTATAACCTTTAAGAATGGGTCTTTTCCATGGTTTAGTGGCATTATTAAAGCAAGTCATTAATACAATTCACCAGCTTCCTTTACTTGTTACTACTCTTCCTTCTTCCTAGCCAGCGGGAGTGCTTTTTTAACTAAAACAGTAATTAATTACCTACCCAGCAGGTGGAGTATGAGAAACAGATCCTACAAACTTTTGAAATATGCAGGCTATTTTACACCAGTCTGAAAGATGAATTGCTCATCTCTTCAACAAGAATTGATTGTCTGCTCTGTGCAAGGTGCTGCCCTGGCTGAAGGAGGGTCAGTGCTGACAGGGCAGACAGGGCCTCTACCCTCAGGGAATTTGCAACCTAATAGTGGCCAGAGTTCAGGGACACTGAAGGGGTTAAAGGGACAGATCACAGAGGCAAGGTGTGTGAAGCAAAACGGGGACTTCAATATTTTAGAGCAATGAATTAGTCCTTCAGACCACGTGGTCGCTGTTTTGGCTTGAAGTGTTTGTAACTCCACAGAATACACTTCCCCGAAGTAGACATAAATGATGTTTTTGTGTCCACTCTGCTCCCCATGCCAGCAGGACAGGCCATGGAGCTGTGGTTACAACCCACTGCATTTGATAGGTGCCTATGATAGTGCTCTGACCCAGACTAGTGAACTTTATCTAGTGTGGGAGGCAAAGTTACAAACTCTTCAGAAATACTATGTACGAGGGATAGTTACAATAATAAGATCATTAAACAGAGAGAGGGAGATTGCTGGTGACTTAGATAATGGCCTTCAGACCTCTAAACGGAAGTTAGGCCACAGAACCTTTCTCTGGATTTGAGCCCAAAAATACTGTCAGGTTCCTAAAACAAAAGGGAAGAATCATCCTCACGACCAGTAGTGACCTTAAGTTGATGCTGCTCTAAAACAAACACAGACAGAACAACGTGCGGTATGGGGCTGGGGACCCAAGGAAGCCGAGACGCTGAGATTCAAATTTCATTTTCAGTTTCCAAAATACTCCCGAGTTTGGATGTCAGGAGAAATAAAAAAGGTCCTGCGAGGCCACATGCAGAGGAAGGGCTGTGGGCGCAGGCTGACTAACATTCGGCTTCCTGCATTTTATTTGATTTGAGTTTGAAAAAAACAGATACAAGAATGGTTGGTGCACAGGCCAGCCTAAGCCAGCCCATGAGGCTTTGAAATCATCTGTCATTTCCATCCTGTTGCGATCACAGGGGCTGCTGTCTAGAGGAAGGAAAATGACCTGGGATGGGCGTCCTAGAGATGGGTGACCCCAGTCCCACAGCGACACTGGGGCCCTGCCCAGGAGAGCTGTCCCTGGCTGGTCTGCTACAACCAATCCACTGCCATGGATGTCCTACTCTGTGCCAGCCCTGGGCAAGCTGCTTTCTCACCGGACAGAGCTGGTGAAAGGCTGAGATAGGGATGCAATAGCAGGCGATGGGGCCGCATGCTCACCCCAGGCCTGGGACCAGCACTTTCACAGGCTCCTGAGTGTTTTCCTCATAGACAACAGGAGATTGTAGCTTCTCCTTTCTTCCCCATTCTGGTCCATTTATGTGTCTCTCCCAGGTCCTAATAACCATATATTTCATTTTCCACCCACCCACACTCCTTGCTCCTCCCCAGCCGGTGGTCTGGAAAGAACTCGTAAATGTCATTGGTCACAAAGCCGCTCTCTATGCTGGCCAGCGTGACAAACCCGCTCTCAGATGGGTTCACAGCCCTGTCCTCAGAGTCGCAGGACAGGGCATCGGGAGTGGCTTCTCCCGAGCAGCCTCGGAAAGAAATGTTCTTCAGGTCTGGCCGGGTCTCGGCTAAGTCAGCTTCGCTTTGTTTCCGGATGACCTTGTAAACCTCCAGGTCTGGGCTGTTGGCGCGGCCAGGTGAGGGCCAGAGGGTGCGTGGCGGCTCCTTCATACTGGGGCCTGGCTGCTCCCGGGTCCTAGGAGAGAGGACAGGTCTGAGTTTCCAGAGGCGGGGACTGCGACATTCCCTGTGCCCGCTGGCCAGGCAGGAGGCCATCCAGGGCAGGCACAGCTGGGCATCTCACCTGCCTGACTCCAGGGGGCGGAGGGGTGGGGAGAGACAGAACAGGGGCGTGTTGCTATGTGCAAAGCCACTGTAAATCTACCAGTCACAGGAGCATGGAACAATGGTGTCTATCCTGGAACCCCAGAGCCCCCAAAGAGTCCATGATACAATAGAACGGGATGGGAAGAAATATCACTTAGAAAACCCTCTTGTCTAAGTGAAAAAGGCAAGGCCTTCCATTCTAAGTGTAGGAAAATAAACAAGAATAGAATTAGTAATATCTCTGACTTGATCAAGAGAAATATATTTGTGATTTCATGGTTTTATAACATCACAGTCATAATAGATGCCTTAAAATAACTTCAAAATTATAATAATTACCCCCACCACTAAATAAGGAAGCATTAATAAAGGAGCATATGTATTTCTGTATCACATTCCTTTGGGGAAATACTTGGATAAACTGTGTATTCGCATAATCGCTTCCCTTGCACTCAATACATTTTATTTTATGCATTCAAAAATATTTTTCCAGGAAGGAATCCTTAGGCTTCACCAGGCCTGGTGAGGTGCTAAATAGGCAGAGAAAGGAAGAGAAATCAAGAACCAATGGCAGAGTCAGCCGTCGTCAAACACATTTGTAATTTTTTTTGGACTGAATTCAATTTTTAGATAAGGAATTAACTAGTAAAAATGATCACAGTAATATATAAAAGCGAACGTTTTTGAGTGCTTACTATCTGCCCATTCAGCCTGAACTAACTGCTTTGATTCTAATAATTCTCTAAGGAAGCCATTATTAAAGGCAGCAAGTTCTAGACTCTTACTCGTTCATATTAAATTTGCCATCAAAGGGCGTCACATCTGAAACTGGATCTTCGTTTTCCTGTTGCAAAGTGGGCACATCAGCCTTCTTCTCTGGGTACCAGGACAATGGGGAGAAAGGTCGCTGAGAAGCTCTGGGCATCTCAAAAGTGTGGCACCTGATCCCTCAGTGGAGTGGCCCTAGGCTATTAGTGTCTATGTTTTGTAGCAATCCACAACCGAGTATTCAGCGGAAAGAAAAACCAATTAAAAATGTTTGGCTATTTCATTTTGAATAAAGTGATTTAGTTTCAGAAGTTTGTCAGAATATTCTGAAAGAGCTGTTTTCCATGTGGCTCACTATTCACTCCTCCACTCATTTTGGAGTGAGAGCATGTGTTTCTGAGAACACTTGGCTGAGTGGATACAGAATAACTAACACAGTTCACCCCTTTAAGCCATTAAAATAAATAAATAAATAAATAAATAAATAAATAAATAAATAAATAAAAGAATGCAAGATCACTCTCAAACACAGCCAAGCACAGATGCGTGGTACTTCAGAATGCCTAGAGCATGGCAGAGAATTTACTCTCAGATCTGCCATGGTGTTTCCCTTGTCACTGCTATGGCTTTTAGTTAAGTCAACAGGGCAACATCCAAACTTGAGAGTTCAGAAGACAAAGGTTTGCATGACCAAGGTTTTACTTGCCTCCTCCTCCAGATCCAAACCCAGCAGATAACTGCGGTGACCAGCAGGAGGAGGAGAAGGGGGATGCCGGGGATGAGGAGGTAGGCAAGGTTCCAGGCAGCTTCTGAAAAGAAAAATGCACATTACCTGCATTAATGATGATGTGTGCTTTGAAACAGGCTTTAAAAGTAATAATCCACCTAATGGACACAGAGTATTCCAAAGAGCATCTCCTTTCAAAAAGTGAGAATTTCCTACCTGTCCAATCATCCTAGGTAACAGAGATATTTAAAGTTTGGGTCTCATATAATATCAGAAGGGCAGTTTGGGTAATTACATTTTTTTCCCCCCAACTGCAAGATATTCTCTCTTCTTGTCCTTCCTCTCCCTTAAGGAAGAAGGGGCTGCTTGGGTAGTGTGGATGTCCCCAAGGTGGGGCGAGGGAGAGGGAGGGAGGAAGGAGAGTCTCCAAGTTATTATCCAGAAAGAGACAGTCACATGAAGCATGCCATTCAGACTGCAGAATCTCCCCAACATTTCTAAGGCTAACTGGATCCAGCTGGGCCGAGGAGCAGTGAGTGACTTCTTCTGTCCTTTAAGCCTTAGAACCAGAGAAGTTTCTTTCAAGGGGCTGGGGAGGACCAAGGATTGGGGACTGACCCCTTTCCTAGTCCGACTGGGCCACCCCTTTTTGCATAGCACTGTGTACTTTTATCAAATGCGTAGAATAACACATTTGATTGGCCTTCGTCCCTGGTTCCTGGGAGGAAGGGCCTCTACATCTTTGGAATTTCTCAGCTAATAAGAGTGACTGTTATTCATGAGCCCCTCAGACCATTTCAGAGTTGATGCTGACAGAGATGTCTCAGAATGGGGCTGGTAGGGAAGCAGTGGGGCCTGGGGATTGAGCTCAATTCCATGGCCAGTGATCAAATCAGTGATGTGAATGTAATGACGCCTCAGTAACGCTCACACCAAAGCTCAGCGGAGCTTCCTGGTCATGTCAGGAGCATGAGAAGGCATCCCGACTCTACAGGGAGAGGGCAGGAGCGCCCCACTTGGGACCTTCCTACACATCACCTTTTGTGTTTTTCGTTTGGCTGGTCCTGATTTGTTTCTTTTATAATAACATGCAGTCATAAGTAGAGCACTTTCCCAAGTTCTATGAGTTGTTCCACCAAATTAATGAACCTGAGGTTGGTGGGCACCCCCTGGGTTTTTAGCCAGTTGGATAGAAGTGCAGGTGGCCGGGGAACCCCAGAACTTGTGGCTGATTGAAGTGAAGGCAGCCTTGTTGGGGGCCTGAGCCCTTCACCTGTAGGGTTGTGCTAACTTGGAGGGCTAGAGTCAGAACTTAATCACCATATCACAATATCCTATTTTATTTTATGGACACAGTTTCTCAGGTAGTGAGAAAAACATTATTGCTTCCATTATGCAAATGATTAAACTGAAACACAGAGAACTTCTGTGTGTTTTTTAAGTTGCGCAGTGACAAAAACCCAGATCTCCCTCCAAAAATTTAAAGTGGAGCCCCTGTCTGGTGGCTCAGTTGATTGGAGCATTGTCACACACACACCAAAAAGGTTGGAGGTTCAATTCCCAGTCAGCGCATATACCTAGGTTTCTGGTCAATCCCCAGTCGGGGCGAGTACATAAGGCAACCAACCAATCAATGTTTCTCTTTCACATCAATGTTTCTCTCTCTCTCTCAAATCCATCAACTAATCCTGGGGTGGGGATAACAAAATAACAACAATTCAAAGTGGAGTCCAGGTTGAAAGTCCATTAGCACTCCAATTCATCACCCCATTTCCTTTTGTCTTCTATGATTTAACTTTTAAAAGGTTTTTGCCCATTTCCTTTATTTGCTTCCCAATTAATATTAACCATGGATATAATGCAGCATGGTCTGCGACTCTCTGATCTACTTCTCTACATCCATTCTCAGTCTCTGCCCATCACCTGCCCTAGGACTTCCGGGTGGTTTCCAAGGCTCCATCTTCATGCAGATTTTTCCTCCCCTGCAGTCTAATTTCCCCTATTGCTTTAGGACAGCTTCATTAGCATAGCTCACTGATGAAAGCTAACATTTGACTCAGTTTTTGCAAATCACAAATGCCCTGTCTAGTTCCATTGTTAAGTAGCTCTGGGATGAAGAAAAGGAGGAAGTGTAACTGTGGGTAATTTGTGATCAAGGGAGTCCCATGATCTATTTTTCCCCGGGAGAGTTCTGTGTATACCTTTGTTTTCTTTAAATGTTTCCTTGACATCTTCTTCCTCTGTGTTTTCTGGAAGTATGGGTGTGGCTGGCTTTGTCCTTTCACCTGGAAACAGATACATGAACTTGAGAACCTGGAGAAAAGCGTCAAAACACAGATATTCTCTGAAATCCTACCAGGTTCAAGGTGGAGAGCCAAAAGGCAGTAACCATTTGGCCATTGACATTTATAGACACAGAGCAAGGGTAGACTTTGCTGGGATGGAGGTGTAATTGCCTTTATCTTTCTGGTGAGACTCTTGCTGCCAAGAATCACAAAGTACTGCAACAATAGGTGGCTGGCATCAAGGCACATACTGTACTGAGGTGCTAAGGAGAAGATTCTATGACTTATTTCTAGGGCCAAAAATGATCAGTTTGGCCCACTTGTTTAAATAGATCTCGAGTTATTCCTTTCATATTGTCAGTAATGACAAATAACATCTCAAACTGAATTTTCCAGCTGTTCCTTTTCAGCTTTGAGAGAAACAATGTTAGAGAGCTAGACTCCCCACGACTCGCCACAGCTGGATATGGCATATACCTGTTTACTGTTCTGGTTAACAATGATCTTTCTGTTGAACAATCTGGTCTAAAGATCATATAGTTCTAAATCTATGAGGAAGGGCTGTGAAATAGCCCAAATTAGCCCAAACCTCAAAAGACAGGCTTACCTCCCAGCCCCAGAGAAGGAACTGTTGGTTCCTCTGTGGCAGAAAGAAACAAAGATGAAAATAATAACTAAATTTTCATGCCATCTTAATGACATTGGCCAGATCATGGCATCCAGATATTTGCTCATTCAGTCACCAATAAACCATCTTCGCTATGAAGTTAGTCAACAGGATCACTTGTGCACAAAGAACCCTCCCTAAGCTTTGCTTGTGCGCTTTTTTCTTTTTAAAAAAGTATTTTGAAATTTTTAAATATGAGGATTTCCAAATACACACAACAATAGAAAGACTGGTATAATGGACCTCTGTGTACCACCATTAGCTGCAATTCTTATCAACAAATGGTTGATCTAGTTTCAGCAATAATCCTTCTCCACTACACTGGTTATTTTAAAGCAATCCAGATGTCTTAACAGTTTCTATTGGGATGTTTTAGAAAGCAACAAACAATGATCTCCAAGCAGAGGAAGTAGTTGGGGGCTAAGGAGACCGCAGGCCAGTCCCTAGGGAGAGACTGGTGGCTGGCTTAGAACTCTCTAGAACTCGGAATCATTTGGCATATTTCAAAGAACCCAGGAAAGTGAGCTTGCACAGACAACTCATAGGAGATGTTTGTACTGTCTTCTGGCAGTCACTCTCTTCCACCCACCAGATGGCTTGTGGCTCATGGGGATGAGGTCCTTAAGGGCAAGATTTTAAAACTCATAGTTGTAAGGCCAGGATGTCAAAGCTATTCAGAGAGAGAGAAAATTAAAAAAAAAAAAACAAAACTTAATCATCTTCTCATCAGTTCAGAAATTGGTAGAAATGATTCAAATCCATTAACTTATTTTTAAAAAGTTGTACAATGCAGGTCATATGACAGAAATATCATCATGTTCTAAGTGTTTTCTAAAACAGTCTATCCTGATAACAGCCTCATGCAGTAGGCGCTCTATTATTACTCTGATTTTGTACATGAGGAAGCCAAGGTACAGGGAGTTTATATAACTTGTCCAAATCCCTCAGCTATTAAGTAATAGCTGAACTGGGATTTGAAACAATAAATTCAAATAAAAATTAAAATAATAAGGAGACAAACTCTGTGCTAGGCAATGACAATAAAATAGCAAACGAGAAATAGTTCCATTCCTCTAAGGCTCTTATACTCTACAATTTAGCCATAAAATGTGGAAATATAGGACAATATTAATAAATAAAAATAAATATAATAAATATTCTAAAAATTTGTGATGTTACATTATAATACACAGTACACTCAATAACATTACATGATCTGTCTTTCTGTGGTTTAATCCACATTTTCCTCTCTTTCTGTGGTTTAATCCACTGTGCGAACCTGCAGCAGCCAGCATACTTACGCAGCTTTTGCTCCAGTCCTGCAGTGCCTCTGCAATGCATCGCCTGTGACGAATTGTCTGATTTTCACTGAACCTGCCTATGCCTTTGGCATACCCGGAAAGAAGTAATCAAGTGTGCAGAACCTGCCAGTATGTCCCCTGCTCTATGTGGTCATGTTGTCAAATGCAGTTTTGGATGTTATTCCATCAGTCCCTTGCCACTTTGGCATAATGAGTGGTGTGCCATCCTGTTTGAACCACACTGGATGAACTTTCCCTCATCCATCAAGTGCAGGGATTGATTGGTTAAATGTGTATGTTTCCAGACCTCATGCCAAAAATGGAGTGAGGGAGCCAAATCTGTAAGTAGGCCGTTAAAGTAATGTGTGTGTGAGGAGCTCTGATCCTCTTGGGAGGATCACCTAACCTAGTTTGAAGGGCCCTGGAAGGTTCCCAGAGGAAATTAGTGTTTTTTTAATTTATTACTTGGATGTAATTTCTGATTTATAAAAATTTGAAATAATAGTACAATTTTCATATATTCTCCACCCAAATGTTATAATTTTATCACATTTCACTTATTCTCTTTAATCTCTATCTCTGTTGCTTTCATTGCTCTGAAAGGTGACCTGCTAAGTCAGCCTCCAACTTTGCAATCACCTGCCTAAGACAACTCTGCATAGGGTTTAGGGAAACAGGTTTCTGGGAAACATAATTCATTGAGAGGGGGGAAAGAAAGAAAATAAACCATTTGGCAGAAAAAGCATAGTCCACTTCAAACAAAAGATGATAGGATTACCTAGTAACTAACTAGAAACAAGTCATTCTCCTATCAGGAAAGGATGCAGAATTGGAGCCAAGCTGTTGGCTTCATGGAGGAGAGAAACTTGAGGGACAGATCAAAACTCACTTCAAGTTTAGATCCAAGCCAGTTATAAAGGAGGAGTGTGGGGAACTCCAGCAGAATGAGACTAGTCTTAGAGCCCAAACCCTTGGCAGACCTAGGAGCAAATGCCCGTTGCATTTGCAAGGTACGTATAGAGGGTGACCTAGGAGGTCGAGCTCATCAACGTGTCTGCTCTTTGCCCCAAACCAGAGAAATTGGTGTATTTTATCACCTACTGCCTCAGGTCAGGTCACAATTCTGTTTCCTTAAAGCCCCAGGAAATGATCTCACATGGCTGTTAGAAGGCTTGTAGGAACAATGGCCAGTATCTTTTCATAGTTCATCTTTATTCCAAGCTCCTACAGCCAACATCACACGTGGAAAACAATAAGAATTTGTAATTGTCCACGTAGAGGATTTTTGTTTCCTGAAGTTCTCATAATTCTTGCTTCATTATTCATAAATTAGACCCTTTCTTTTCTCATCCCTCTCTTAGCATCTGATACCCCTCTCCTTTGCTAGTGCTACTCCTCAAGGAGGAAGGCTCTCTCATTTCCCTTTCCAAGGATTCCCAATGTTTACCATTGTTGGCATTTGCAACACACTTTATCAGAGACCACGTAATAAATTCTTGGAACCAGCAGCTGCTCATGAAATGAAGGAGGAAGTTGAGAGGTTCAGTCTCCTAACTTGGGAGAGGATTATTACCATCGGAGTATTTGCAAATGAAATTGTTCTTCATGTTGCATCGGTCGTCATTCCACTGGAACATATAGCGGCCCCCGATGCCGGTGGGTGCAGATGGCTGGTGGTACATGACTACGCAGACCTCGCTGCCACAGGAAGGCTCATCCACATACCAGTTCCTGTAGGAAAGGGGTCAACAGTGGAGGCAACTGGAGAAGGATACTTCAAAGCCTTTGTCCATCAAATCCCTCTGAGCCACAAACTTAAGACTCTGCTTCAGAATACAATACAGAAAAAGGGAGGAATTGAAGTTCCACCAGTAGGAAGAGTCACAGGCTTTCTAATATGACAGCACAATCAATCATCTGACACTTGCCACAACCAGGAAGGAAGGAATATATTACCATATGATTTCTGCAAAGTAATTATGGGGGAAACACAGCTAGCAGCGCATTCTGGATGATCTTATTTATGGCTTGCTTTTTGATAATTGGGTTTGTTTTTCTTCTTTTATAAATCAGATGCTCTGATAAGAGTCATGACTCATCTCATGTCCTGCTCCCATCTCCTCACACTTTTTAATTGGCCATAACTGACTTTCCCACCCCTGGGAAGACTTTCCAAAATGTAGAGGCCGTCAAAGCAGGTGAGGGGGCGGGGACTAGAGCAGAGGGCCCACATAGTCTTCAGCTGTTTCCTGCTCCTCTGGCTGATGAGCCCCTTGGTCAGCCTTCGCTGCTAGATTTCTTGTCAAGATTTCCCTGGCTCCTGAGTAGGATGCATTAGCAGCCTCACCTTCACTATCCAGTGCTACTTGGAATTAAATGGCACTGCCACCCTGCTGGATATGTGGGTGCCAGGTTTGGGAGTTCACAAAGGGTCGAAGTGCTCTTAGCACCCACCCCATGCACTGGCCAAGGGGCCCTAGTTACCTGATTACCCACCTGAGCCTTCTTGGCAGGCTTCTCAGAAGCCCTGGCCTCAGAGATGGCCGGAGGGGAGTGCTTCCTGAGGGAGGGGACTGTGGGCATGAAAGCATGAATGTGTATTTGCTCTGGTCCCCAAGGGGACACTCAGCTCAGCACCCAGAGGGGCTAGAAAGGTGCATGGGCATCAGGCTATGGTGTCTGTCCTAAAGTACGAACAAGTTTGGGACCAGAGGAGGAGGGATCAGAACGGGCAGAGGCTGGAGGCTGGGAGGCCCAGCAGGAGGCTGTGGCAATGGCACTGACCAGACCCTGAGGAGCTACCCTTGTCAGAGCCCCTCCTTAGGAAACAGCTAAGAGTCAGGTCACCTCATAGTACCCCATTATGGCTCTGCTCAGTGTTGTATTCCATCCACCAAAGGAAGATCCTTTGCTGCACCCTCTGGGTTTTATGTGCCTGGACAACAGCTGACCTTGCAACATGGCTGGATACTATGCCTGGATCCCTTGCTCCTCAGTAGTTACCTCCAGGCCATTTCCCAACTCTGTGGCTGGGCCTCCTACACTGACTTGCCATTGGCCTTATGGCTTTCCACTGGCCTTATGGCTTTATGTTTCTTCATTTTACAGATGATAGACTAGATGGAATGTCCAGAGCTTAGTTGGTAGTTAGTGGAGGTTAGAATAGAGGACTCAGGGGTAGGGCAGAGAGCGTGGCCAGCTGATCAGGGGAAAAGTTTTCTAAAAGAAGAAAGATTAGAAGACTGGGGACAAGGAGCTATTGACTAGAATGTTACGACTAGACTCTATTATAGGTTAAAGCACACCAGAAAGTATCTATCATGGAAGAGACCCTTCACAACGAGAGAGACTAAATGACCTGAGATCAATTGAGATCAGCTAGTCTGTTGTCAGCTGCCCCAGTGCTGGTGCAATAGACACACACTAGAGTAGCCATGGTGGTAGGGATGGAAATTGCATGGGATCAACAGTATCGGTCCCCGCTCTCCAAGGGCCATCTAACCTGCCAGCAATAGAGATCAATGCTAAATCCCTGAAAGAGTACCAACCCTAGGAGACCAGCAAGTTGGCTACAATGGACTCCTTCCAGTGACTCATTTTGACAGTCTGGGTGCGGGTTTGTCTTTCCTGCCCCAGGGCCTTAGTCAGCATCACTATCCAAAGGGTGACACACACAATATTTGATCCACCAGCACAGAACCCCAAGTAACATCTCATCAGACCACAGGATCTACTTTATAGCAAAGGAGTGGGAGTAGGCACCTGGCCATGGGATTTGCTAATCATCTCTTATATTCACTCTCCTGAAGCTGCCAGCTTGACAGAGTTATGGAAGAGCCATTGAACACAGAGCTTGAAGTACTAGCTTGGAGGCAATACTTTTTTAGAACAAGGTATCATCCTCCAAGATGCAGTGTACAGTTTGAATCAATGACCTTTGTATCTCCCTGTGTCCCCAAGAGTAAGACTACATCGATCTGGGAGCCTAGGAATGGAAGCAGAAGACGTCCTGATTACTGTCACTGGTAGTTGGAAAATTTGTACTTCTTGTCTCTGCACTGCTGGGCTTTGTGAGTTTAAAGGTCCTGGTACCCCAAAGGTACCCAGTAGAAGATACAGCAAAAGCCTTATTGAACTATGAGCTTTGGCTGCCACCTGGGCACTCTGGGGTGGGTCCCTGTGTCCAGGGACCAGCAGGTAAGAAGAGGACTATTATCTTGGCAAGGAGGAAGTACTTCTGCTATTTCATATCATGGGCAGAGAGAAATATGTATGGCACCAAGATAGTCTATTTGGATACCTGTCAGTACTCGTATGACTAATTTTGATGAAAAATGGAAAAGTGCAAGGTAACTAGGGCCTCCCAGTCCCTGAGAAGAGCGGGCAGGGAATCTGGACTGGATAGCAGAGGAGGGAGCTGAGTGTCAGTTGTGGTTCTGGGACCAGCTGCAGTGGTGAGAAGTGCAGTTCATCCGATTAACCTTCCCTTTTCAGTTTCTCCCAGGAAGAGAAGCCCATGAGGATCCTGAAGGAGGAACTCCTAGAACTTAGATGAAGATCTGGGTCTGATCAACATAATGGGTAGACTTTGAGTTTAAACTTTTTTTTTAATCATATGATTGTTTACCAGTTAGATTTTGTATTTTTTGTAATGTCTGCTTAGGTCCTTTGCCTCTTTTGGGGTTTTATTAACTTATTAGAGTGCATGAAATTCATGAATGGGTTTGAAGAAGGGGTGTCCCTCAGCCCAGACTGCACCCTCTGGCAATCTGGGACTGCTGGCTCCTAACTGCTTGCCTGCCAGCCTGCCTGATCACCCCTAACTACTCACCTGCCTGCCTGATCGCCTCTAACTGCCTCTGCCTTACCCCACCACTGCGGCTTCTTCTGGAAGGATGTTTAGAATGACATCTGGAAAGTGATTCAGCTGTCCGGTCTAATTAGCATATTACACTTTTATTATTATAGATGTAAACTTTCAGTGTTTTATTGACTTTTATATAAACTCATAAAAATGCAATTTTTGTTAAATTTTCTACAATTTTTTCCAGTTTCATGTCTGCCTTTTAATTAGATATTTTTTTATGCTTGTCCATGTCACTGCATTTCTTGGGGTGGGGGTGGAGGCGATGGCAACACCTTGGTGCCAGGGGGGGGCATGGGTTTAGGAAGGTTCTATAAACTGCAAGCTCCCTTAAGCACTCTCTTGCCCAATCCATAGAATTAGATCTTGGCTCTGATTTCTTGTCCATCATTATGATTCTCTGTGGTCTGGAGATCTTAGCCTCATAGACCTTCAATCTCTCACTGGAGTTCTAATCCAGAAAAACCAGATAGCAGAAAGATTGGAAGCACTGCCTGCCATTGAAACAATGCTTCGGGCCACACCCTCCAGAAGAGAGTTGTTTGGATAAGAGCTGAGTCCGGATCAAGGCTGACTCATCACCTTCACTACACTGCTTTAGTCAGCACTCTTCTGCTGATGTCTCTGCACGGCTGTTCCCTGGGTCAGCTTCCTCCTCCTCCTCACTGACCTGGCACCGTGGGCCTAACCTGCCTCCTTTTGGAATTATGTCAAGTGCGTTAGCCCCCATGGGTTCCACATTTACCTGAATGTTGATAAGCTGCCATCCGTCCAAGTGTAAAGGTCCTGGCAGGCTGTGCCTTTGCTTTGCTTCTCCTCACGCCTCCAGAGCCCAATCCAGAAATCGCCATCAGATGCCATGAGGTTTTCAATGAACTTCTCTATCAGCCTCTGTTCATCTTCAGACTCAATGCTGACTAGCTGGCCCCCGTCTCTCCGGCAGGCTGCTCTGGCTTCCTCAAAGTTCAGTCTTCGAGAAGCATCATGGAAGTAAAGGACTTTGTAACAAGGCCTCTGTGTCCCTCCCCGGCAGACCGGCTGGCCTAGAGAAAAAGCAATTCCAACCATTTCAGTGAACCCAGAGTGTACTGGAGCAGGGATGCTTGGAGGCATGCGAATGAGGCTGTCCCCAGGGCAGGCACTCTGATGACTCCTCAGTGGACTGTTGTCAGATCAGTTAGGGTTCCGAGAAAAACTGATAGCCTGCCAGCACCTAGACTACGTCATGCAGGGACTCCATGTTTTGTTTGTCCCATCGCAGCTTCCTGAACGGCAGACATTTTTGGCTTTCCTCCAAAGGAGAGGTAGATGAAAATGCATGGTGTCACCTTAAGGCACACAAATCACTTTCATGCTATTAGGGAGTCTCATGGGATAATGTGGCATATATATATATATATATATATATATATATATATATATATATATATATATAATTTTTTATTTTATTTTTTTATTTTTTTAAATTTTTTCCTACTTCCTTAGTGTAGCTTTAAGTGAGTTATCTGTTTGGGGCTTCCTTCAGGTAAGAGAGGCATTCTGAAATTGGGAGTGGTTTTCTCTACCCTGAAGCCCTTCTCTGCCCATGTGGCAGGACTCAGAATTCACCCAGTCTGTGCGCTGTTCTGCTAATGAACTTGCCTAAACTCAACTAAGGTTAACTGAACTCTCACTATGTGCCATGAACTAAGCTAAGGGTGTTTTTTTGTTTTGTTTTGTTTTGTTTTTTTTGCTGTGTGTGTGTGTGTGTGTTTTGTTTGTTTGTTTTGGTTTTTACTTTTATATACATTAGTTACCTCATTGAACTCCCATAGTAAGTCCCTGCTGTAGATATTGCTTATGCTCCATCTTACAGATGAGAAAACTGAGGCTTAGAGAAATTAAATGATTTGGCTAAGGTCGCATAGCTATCAGCAGCATTGTCTAAGTCAGAGCTCTAATTATAACATCATGCCAATAACCAGTGAACTGCATTACCCACTCCCCATTCCGCAGTCAGGTCTGTTTCTTCTGTCTGACAGCTGGAGGGGAGGAGACCATCTCAGACAAATAGACGGGGTTCCACTGAGGAGGAAATAGCAAATTGTTCACCAGGTCACACCACTCTAGCTTGGATCCCGGTGCCTGGAGCTTTGCTACACCTGAGACATGAGCCTCATTATTCCTTTGTTTAATCACCGTGTACTGAGTGTACTGGCTGTGCCCAGCACTGTGGTAAATGCTGGGAATATGGAAACAGATGCCAGCTCCCAGCCCACAGGAGCAGACAGTATATGTTTCTGATCAACAGAGTACAACAAGGGGAATCCCTTGGAGCGAAGAGCCAAATCCTAGGCTGTTGGTGTGACTTGCTGCATAAAGCAAGGGATAAAGGATTATGGTTTGCAAGCCTCTTTCCAGCCCTCATGGGATGGTCTCACTTTCCTAACTTGTTCTGCAGCTGTGCAGGGAGCCAGATAGCCTTCGTTCTTCTCAATACTGTCCAGAGACAGTGCAGCTGGGGACAGTGCTGCTGGGGACAGCGCGCATACGGACAGATGCAGAAAGCTGTGATTTCTTCTTTTCTATTTCTTTTTTCATTGCTTTGGCAGAGAAATTCTCAATATGCAACCAGTTATAAAGAGTTTTGTATCTTCTCTCTTGAGGTGTCTTTCTGCTATGGCTAAATAAACCCTAATCGGACGGGTCCTCCAGAGAAATAGGAGGCCTCCAACGTGGTATTTCACCAAAGATGTATTCCGGAGAAACCGGGGACACTGGCCAGGGAGGCTGTGGCTGGGCTGCTGCCTGGGGAAAAGACTGGGCCTGCTCAGCTTCAAGGAGTCCTTAGAGGTGCCCCTACATGAGCAAAAGACCAAGGCCTGAGCCCGAGCCCCGCCCCCGAGCCCCGCCCCCAGTCTCCAGCAGAACAGAAGTTGGAACTGAATTTACTGTTGCATTATCAAGGAAAAACATAATACCCTAAAGCAGTTCCCCGCAAGGTCCAGCCTGGCCACACCTCCCGAGTCAGCAGGTGAGGCGGAGAGAGCCAGAGCTGGCAGGAGGCCCAGGGGCACGTCTGGCTCCCTGGCCTCAGGAAGTGTCAGGCTCTTCTTTTTTGCAGGAAGAGGAAGGGGGGTGGGGGTGGGGGGAGGTGCTTCGGTGACAGAGCCCTAGCAGCCCAATTCAGTTTACCTTCCCCTAGGCTGCTCTGCGCCCCACCCCGCCCGGAAACCAATTTGAGATTTTGTTCGGTCAGCTGTGCAAAAGCAGGAAACTAAGTTCAGATTTTTTTTTTTTTTTTTTTTTTCTGTCAGCTGTGCTGGCAGGATAGAGGAATGCGGGCTCCATTCTCCTTTGGGGCTATGCGATGGCCTATGAGGCAGGCCTTCCACCCCGACAACATGCAGAAGGAATGAAAGAGGCAAGGAACCCAAGCACCGTACCTCCTCTGAGGTCCCCGTCTGAGGCTGCAGGCGCGAGCGGAGGAAGGAAGCAGCAGAGAGTCACTCCTCAGAGTCAGGCGGGACTTGTCCCAGCAACCTGGCTTCTCTCCGATCTGATCTCCAAGCGCTCATTCCAGGCGCTGGATCCAGCCCTCCTGCCCCCTCCCCCAGAAGACCTGGAGCTCACAAGCTAGGAAGTTCCCAGGGCACAGGCGACCCGGAGCTCCTACTGTACCCGCCGTCTCCGCTCAGACCTCCCCAGGGGCAGGACTGGGGAGTCTGTGAGCCCGATCGGCGCGTGGGTCCCGGGTCTGGGCCTGCCTGGCCGACTTGGCCACCCGCCCCGCTAGCCCACGTTCCCCGATTCCTGGAGCCGGGCTGGGAACAGACTTGGGGAGATCCATCCAGGCCATCAGGGAACCCGTACAGGGCTCAACCGCGGGCGATGGCTCCCCCAGAAAGGCTGGGTCCACTGGTTAGATTGGGGGGCCACCGCCCTCACCCCCGCAGCCCTCGCTCTGCAAAGAGCCCCAGAAGAGGCGCGGCAGCCCCGAAGACAGCCGGGGCTGGGTTGCGGAGGGTGCCTCAGCCCAGAGTCCCGGGAACCGGTCCCCGCGCCCCCAGCGCACTCACCGCTCAGCAGGCGCCCCTTCTCGCCCCGGAGCCCCACCAGCAGCGCGGCCAGCAGCACGGCCCGCGGCGCCCCCAGCTGCATGGCCCCGGCCCCGTGCGCCTCGGACCCCGGCGCTACCGCGGAGGAGCGGGTGGACCTCCAGCTGCACGCACCACCGCAACCCGCAGCTGCATATCCGAGGACAGCCCTGGCACCCGGAGAGGTGGGGAGGGCGCGGAGCCAGCCAATCTCCCCTCCGCCCCCGGGACGTCACTGCGGGAGGGCAGCCCAGCCAGCTGGCCCGCCCCCAGGGCCTCAGACACCCGGCCCACTCCGAGCTTCCCAGGAAAATCCCGCATTTGCCTGGAGCTCAGGGCCGCCTGGGAAAACCTGCCTGGCTTCTCTGAAGTCTGATGGCGAGAGCGCTGTGGCTGAAAACGGGACTGCGCCTCGCCCCCGCTCCTGGGGACCCAGCCAGATTGACTTGGGAGAGGCAGGCAGATCTCCTGGGGCTGGGTGGGGTGCAGCACAGGCTTCGGGCTACTCAGAGAAAGGGGTGGTGAATGGAGAAAGGGGTGGTGGATGGAGAAAGGAGTGGTGGATGGAGAAAGGGGTGGTGGATGCGGAGAACAGATGATGAGGTAGGCAATGTGCCACTGGCCTGGCATGTAAGGAGCAGCATGGATAGCATCCCTAGAAGGAGGCTGAGTTGAAGTCCTGGCTGAGAAGAGAGCAGCTCCTCCGAAGGCCAAAGGATAACTGAATTCAACAAGGAAATAACATTGTCCTGCTTTTTGCAGAGCTCATGTTTGTTCAGCCTTGAACTTGTGATAGAAAGGAGATAGCCTACCCCCCACGAAACAGTTCCTCTGGAAACGCTTTCCTCACAACCCAGCCCTCAATGTGTGCGCCTTCTTCTCCGCTCCCACAGCAGTTGTGTTTCACATTTGGTCTTCAAATATATCCAGACAATAATGTGAGCTTCCAGAATCGAAGGCGCTAAGTGGCAGAGGTGCGTCTGGTTTCCCTGCCTTTGCCTCTCTGTGAAGCACAGCAGAAGCTCCATCTGGGCTGACTTCCGGTTCGGGGCCTCAGCTTGAGCCACTGCAATTCTAGACACACAGGCCTGAATACAGACTGTGGGATATGGAGCCTGCTCCAGTACCAGCTGTTAATATGGGGAAGCTCTGCTACTCCAGAAACCAGTAGCAACAGCAGGAACTTATGGCAAGTTCATGTACAACCAACCAGTCTTTATGTCTGAATTAGAATATCTGGTATTCAGCATATATTCTTTCTAGAAATTCCTCATTTCCAGTCCTGTTTTTCTTCACTTAATGTCAGCGTGGCCTTTGAAAAGTTTTATTGTGTGGGTTTTGTTGTTGTTTTGGCCTACGTTTCAATTAAATCTTGGTAACACTAAAAGTTACCTCAACTTTTGTGAAGGGTTGATAAGGGAAACAGATGTTCAAGTGAGTAGGTAGCTGGGCACTTAATGTCAATTGCAAAATATTTATTTCCAATATTACAACACCGTTACAACCTAGAGAGCTGTTACCTTGGTCCAATTAATTAAATTGTGCCCCGAGTTCTCCCTTTGATACACTGGTGCTTGGTCCAGATAGACTTGATGGTAGATTGTAATAACAACCCCAATTCTTCACACCACCCTGTATCCACACCCTTTACTGTGTGTCTTTCCAGTTCCTCTTGCTAAAGGGGCAGAGTATATTTCCCTTCTTCTTGTCTCTGTGTTTGAACTTGTGATTTGTTTGGCCAATAGAATGAACCAGAAGTTTCTGAGCCAAGACTGGAAAAGGCCTCACATGTTTTCATTTGTTCTCTTGCTTCTCTTCTGCTTAGGGGAATATAGCTTGGATATCCTACTGGTCCCTGTGCATCCCCAAGAAAATGTGGGGAGCAGAGCTGCCTCAATCCACAGGCATGCAGGGAAAAAGAGTCCTGCCTAGTGCTGTAGCCTGAAGCACAGCTGTCTGGCCAAGCCTAGATCAGCCGAACCCCCAACTGACCTACAGATGTGTGAGCAAGAATAAACATTTAAGCTCACTTTGACGTGCAGTATTGTTGCAGTAATACCTAACCGTTACACTTGGCAATGCAGGCAGGCGTCACCAGGGTGAGGCTGGATGCCAAGAGAGTTCACCAAGTGGAATTTTTCTTGGAAAAATTATATTGTCTAGGGTCCAATCCTTAAGTTTGACAAGCTCAAACCCAAGGTAAGAGACTCATATATTTATACATTGAGAAATACAATCATCAGGTAAGCCCATGTTTGCACTGGCCTGTTGAGCACAAACTCTCCCTCTGGGCAAAAGATTACCCAGTGAGCATGGGGTCAGAAGAAAGGGAATTGGTGTCATGATTTGGAAGTTTCGGCTTTGATAGCCTGCTATGTCATCACTATAGAGAGCTGTCAGGCAGACAAACACATTACCCTGATAGGGTCCCTTTTATTTTTTCCCCACCTGAGGATATGTTTCCATTGATTTTTGGAGACAGTGGAAGAGAGAAAGACAGAGTGAAATATCAATATCGATGTGAGAGAAACACATCGATAAGTTGACTCCTGCACAAGTCTGACCAGGGCTGAGAAGGAGCCTGCAACCCAGGTACGGGGATCAAACCTGGGATCCTTTGGTCTGCAGGCTGGTGCTCTATCCACTGAGCAAACTGGCTAGGGCCTTTTTATTCTTAATGTTGCTGAGATGAGATTTCCATTTTATAACTTTCTAAACTTCTTTTTTTAAAGCCTACCTTCTGTTCAAAACACTTATTTTTAAATAGTGTTGTGGTGGAAACTGCTAGTTTCCACTAATATCCATTTTCTACTTCTTTTAGTGATAAAGTCCTGAATTTTTAATTGGTTAGATCTCCCCCCTCATTTAAAGCCTATTTTCTGGCCTCCCTTGCAATTTGCTGTGTCCCTGTGATTAAGTTCTGTTGGCACTGCGGAGTAGGAGTTGCATCTGATGGAAGGTATGTCCAGGAGCTACAGGTGGAGGCCAAGTGAAGTGAGTGGTGGTCATAAATAGAGCTGCAAGCACTGGAGCAGAGCATGCAACCCTGAGCAGGAATGCCAGCGGAACAATGCCCAAGGACAAATATTTAACCTTCTCTTTTCCAATATACCCCAAAAGGAATGACCTTTAAAAGTGAGGGAGGTTGGCACTGGAAAGTACATGTGTGTAAGATATAGGAATGCTAAACCAGCTATTCACAGAACTACACTGAGTGGCCAGATTATTATGATCTCTGAATGAATAATAATCTGGCTACTCAGTGTATATCCTATATAATAAAAGGCTAATATGCAAATTGTTCCCTTAACCAGGAGTTCGACCAGCAGTCAGGCCAACCAACTGCCCATGTCCCCTCCTCCTGGCCAGGCTCGCCAGACCCCACCTGGCCTCTAATATATATATGCAGAGTAGCCAGATTATTCTGCGTTCAGAGATCATAATAATCTGGCCACTCAGTGTTTGCCCTTTTATTTTTATTTGCTTATTGTTTTTACTATTGGTCTACTACTTGGGGCACATAAAACTCTGTTGTTTGTTTATTTGATATTCATAATATAGATCAAGTATAACAATTCTGAAGATAACAAATAAAAACAAGAGAAAAAGGAGTTTGAGAATGTATAAGATTATTGTGTAGTGTCAAGTACAGTGGTATTCAATAATTCAACTAGATACAAATATTCAATAACTGGTAAAATTCCTGGAAGCCTGCATACTTAACTTTTATTTCTTAGACTATTTTAACAAATGATCCCAATGATCCTGATGTAGGACTAGGTTGTTTCAGAAGTGAAGAATTAAGTGAGCCATCCTCTATGACGTGTCAATCATTTAGTTCAAGGCTTTGACTTCTTCTTGGTCTTCCTTATTGGACTCTGGAATCACTTTCCTGTTGGCAGGAACATGGATCAGTCCCATGTACAGAACTCTGTAGTTGTGAACACAAAGTAGCATGGAGACAACTTTTGAAAGTTTCCCCAATAAAGATTTTCTGAATTGGATTCTGACAATGCATTAGATTTTGCAACCAAGTGTAAATTCATATGTGGGAGAAGCTGCAATTCTACTGTAAAGTGTGATTTGAAGGGCATGATAGAAGACCTCCTAACCCTAAATATGTTTTGCTTACCCAAGAGTCAAACTTGGGGGATTTAATCATTGCTAATTGATTACAATGGATTGTCTAATGTTCCTTCTAATCAGTCCTCTATAATGCAAATATTCCTGTGGTGTATAATAAACATATTGCTACTAAAATCTTACTCTGTTCACACTTTCTAGTTCTTTCTTTCCTACAGTAGGGAATTTGAATTGTCTTAAGATCTGTTGGATAAATAGCTGCTGATGCTACTCAAATAGCAGTCTTTACTCATTTAAATCAAGCGACTATCGGGTCTAATATTTTCATTAGACTAGTTTTGCTTCCTCCTTAGAAGTTACATCTAATCATCTGGCTAAAATGCAAGAAATTAAGTTGCTGAGCATTGTGTAGACAAGATAGCCAGCTGATGGAATGATTTTTCCATTTTCCCCAGAATTTTTAAAAATTAGTGTAAATTTTTTAATTTTTATTTGATGACATTAAAGGGAATCAGCCTTAATACCAATGGGATAAGAATAAAAGTTTTATTACTTTATAACCATTCTTCCCTGAAGGTATTATGCAAATAAATACTTTAAAAATAAATGTTGAGTTAGCCACATTGGTTTTCAGTCAGAATAAAAATAAACACTGAGAGTTCTTAAATGATTAAGTAGTGGTAGCTGGTTTTCTTTCAATAGTTCTGGTCCCTGTGCCCGGTCCTGCTCTAACATTATTCTAGGGATAAGACTTTTAACACATCCCTGTGAGGATAAAGCCCTTACTACATGAATTTAGATTCAACAGATATGCCATTGATGGTGTCAGCACAGACAATAGAAGACATACAGATTTGCTAAGGATGGTGGGACTAGGTGTGGGTAGGGAAGGGGAGGGGAGTGGAGAGGGCACTAGCAGATGGATACAATAGCTCAGGTTAAGAAAGGAGGGTAAGAGGATGTGAACAGAGATACAAGGTTGATTTACTTTCCTGTTTACACTAACTTACATTTGCATATTCACAGGTATGGAAATGGACACACAGGCTTTAATATAGAGAAGAAGAAAGTTTATTCAAGGTAAGAAATCTCTAAATTAGTGAGTGGGTTTTAGAAGATTTGAGTGTAAGGAGGCAAAGTGAGTAAAATAAAAGTGCTTTTTTTTTTATCAGGTAACTAAAAAAGTAAGAATATTGACAGAATTAAACTTACTTTTCTTTATAGACTTTGCTCTTTGGTTTATAAGGAAGGGAGATCAGTTCTTTCTAAACAAAACAAAAAAATCAAAAAGGAAATGTTTTACTTTGTGCACTGACTGAAATTTAATTGAAAAAAATTGAGGTAAAATTATCACAGAGTTTACACAAACTAGCTTCTTAAATCTGGAGACTGTAGGGTCAGAAATGTTCCAGTTTAGGGAATTTGGGGTTCATTCAGGAGAGTTTATACACTCATAAGTTTACAGGGTATTATTGTTGTTTTTATTAAGTTTGTTTATCATCATTTAGCATTTGTTTTTGCATGACCTAAGTAAGATCAATCATCATAAAACTGATATTAGCACCGAAGTAGCCCATGTTAATACTGTAGCTTTAAACTAGGTGATAATCAGCTCACCGACAATAGCACCTCATTTCTCTGGCAGTAGAGTTGGCACACTGTGGAGATGTCTTTGGTTTACCAAGTATTGCACAATTATCTGTTGTCTATACTCTGCCCCCCCCGCCCCTCTGGTATATAAAAGGCTCAGGACTTGTATATCTAGATTCAGATGGTCAATTTCTGAGAATTTGCCATAGTTCACCACTCCCCACACAGATAGATTTATCCAAATGCCTCACTATCAGTCTCACCGAGATCCTTTCTTCTCTTTGTTTCTTTAAGAGTTGGAGAATCTCATCTCTCTTTTTAGCCTGTGTAAAAGGGGAAAAGAGTGGGTGAATCTTTTGAATAATTAATAAAATTTTTGTGTCCACCAAGAGTAGAATTTTTTTCCATTTTTCTTTTTGTATTTTGGGGCAGAATTTAAAAATATTTTTTCCGTGATAGATTTATATTTTCATTTGTAACACAATGCAGTTTTTATTTCAGAGGATGCTGCTCTGCAAAAACAATTCATTCCCAAATAAAAAGTGTTTTCTTGTGCATCTACCTTATTGGTAATAATTAACATTTATTAATACTTTAATACATGAACTATGCCAAGAACTTTATATAAATTATGTAATTATTTTATTATAATAACTCATAAGTTTGACTACTATTATTCCATGTTATAGATGAGTAAATCTGAAGTTTTAAGGTTAAGTAGCTTACCAAGCTATTAAGTGCAGAACTAGATTTGGTACCAATTGTATTTGACAACAAATCCCAAGCTAATGACCACCATACAAAATTGCCATTAAGTGATAGCAAAATGCAAACTCAGCAAGCTTACACCACATGCCATCACCTAAGAACTATAACGGGGCTCTAATAGCTTGTGCATGAGACAGAGCATTATTCTCTCATCTCTCCTGTCTTAGATATTGGGACATTCTCAAGTTCTCCTAAGTGTAAAAAACTAACTGGATGCAGGCATGAAGATTTATCAAAATATAGACTATATAAAAAGAGGCAAATATAGGTACAATTTTTTTTTCATAGAATCGCTTATATTCAGTTTGAAGATAGCCAGGCATAAAATTGCATCTGGAGTATTGGAGAACAAAAGAAAAACCTGAGAATCTGACAAAACTTGCAACTTCAAATGTCCAAATAAAATGAAAGAAGCTCTGTTTAGATAAAGATTAGAAGCAAGAGGCTTCTAGTCAAGATGGTGGTAAAGATAAATGCTTTCATCCTCCCACAGTCATATAAAAAAATACAATTAAACTACAGGAAAATCATCATTCAGAACCACTTGAAATTTAGTTGAATGAAAGTCATACAACTGAAAAATAAAAAAGAAGCTACACCAAAACTGGTAGAGAACAGAATAGGCTGGTCCCACACTCATGTGTGGTAGACAAAAATCAGGAGGGGTTTTTTGGCTACAAAAGACTCTGAGGTTTGAGGGTTCCCAATCCCACACCAGACACCCAAGTCTAGGGTTCTAGTACCAGGAAGAAAAGTCCCAGTGGGTTTTCCTTACAAATGACCTGTCTTGGCTCATGCTTCTGACTCCCCTAAAATTTCTCAAACAAGCAGCATCTGATCTTGGATTGCCCCAAATCTTTCATTAAGTGGCTCCAGCCTCAGCACTAGTGGCAGCCAGCCTTGGTTAGCAGCTTGACCTCTCCTGGGCACCTCTAGCCATCTGCAGATCATTGTAGATCATTCCTGGTGGCTCCAGGTAGAGTACAGGAGGTGGCTGACCTTGGCCTGAACCTCCTGGGAGGCCCCAGAGCTAGTGCATCTGGTGGACAGCTTGATACCATGCCAGAGCACCACCCAACTACCTCCACAAGAGACAGACTCAGAAAGTGGACTCAGGGCATACCAGAGCTACCCTGAAATTAGTCCTGCTCTGTGAGGTGGGCCCATGCACAGCTGATCCGCCATGGTAGTTGCAGCCAATTGGTCTGGAGGTAAATTTCTCCCATTGATGTTCCATAGCAATCAAGCCTCAACTATACAACAGGACGGTATACACAGTACACAGTGGAGCCAGCTCAGGTGAACAGCTGTGCCATTGGACTTTACAGAACACCTACTACATTAGGCCACTCTACCAAGCCCGGGAGATGTAGCAGCTCTACCTAACACATAGAAACAATCACACGGAGGCTATCAGAATGAGGAGACAGAGAAACATGTCCCAAATGAAAGGACAGAACAAAAGTTCAGAAAAAGAACTAAATAAAATACCAATGTTATTGTTCCACAGTACTGGTGGCTAGAAGTCCCAAATCAAGATATGGGCAGGGCCACGCTCCCTCTGGAACCTATGGGGGAATCCTTCCTCGCCTCTTCGTAGCTGCTGGTGGTTTGCCAGCAATCTGTGGCTTTCCTTGGTTGGCAGCTCTATAACTCCCACCTCTGCCTTCATGGTCACATTGCCTTCTTACTGTATGTTTCTGTCTTCACATGGCTGTATTATAACGACACCAGTCATATAGGATTAGGGGCTAACCCTACTCTAGTATTAACTTCTTAACTAATTCCATCTGCAATGGTTCTATTTCCAAACAAGGCCACTTTTTGAGATACCAGAGATTAGGACTCACCACAGACATTTTTTGGGATACATTTCAGACTTTTTTGGGGTATACTGTGCAAGAGGCTGAACAAAACTCAATCCCTGACTGCAAAGTGATTGCAGATTTGTGGAGAAAAAACAAGTAAATAATTTCAAACATGCGATAGGGTCAGTATATAAAGTGCAATTAGAAAACTGAAGAGGGATCATTAATTCAGACTAGAGTGAGTATTCATCTGTGAGGGGGGCGGGTCAGAGAAGATGTCCCAGAGGATGTAATGTCCAAGCTTGGACCTAAAAGTTGTAGTCACCCAATAACAACAGAGACAGGATGGGAAGAAAGCTTTTGAGAAAACAGGATGTGCAAAGCCCCAGAAGCTGCCGCATTGCTAAGTGATTCCTCAAGGAAATTCCTCAGCCTTTATACCTGCATGAGAAGCCATGGCCCTCAGGCATGCTCTGAGTCACAGGAGAGGAGGAACCCATGCTGGGGAGGAGTAATCAGCAATCAGACCAAGAACAATGCTGCTTTGGTTGGCATCATTCTGCTCAAGTCATGTAAATGTTACCTTTTATGAGTCTACAAACTTTTTATTTTACTTATTTTGGGACAAGATTTCTATCTTTTATTTGAATATTAGGCATCATATTACCATTATTGAAAGAAAATAAATTCAGGGTATTTTAAAAACTAAGCTGAACTTCATAATACCTGTTCACTTGCTTTGAACTGAATAAAATAATGTCTGTAGATAAAGACATGGGATATTTTCAATGTAGGTACTCAATGTAGTTTCATTTCCAACTTTTCCATTGCACATATATTGAATTGGAATCAATTGTTGCAACACAGTGATTACGTAGCACTTTATATCTTTATTGTGGTATTGATCTTCCTTTCCCTGCTTTATCTCATAGCTGCTACCATGTCTCTTTCAGAGTCTTACTCATCTTTTATCCTTCCTTAGAGCTTAGCAGTGCCTTGTATATTATACTCAATGAATTTTTTGTTGAATTGGATTGAAATTGATTGAGTCATGATGAATGAATGAAATCATTCGCTGACGAATACACAATTATTAGCCTAAGCAAAATAATTTTTTTTTTTTTAGAAAGTGAATTTAAACAGGGGTAGGTAAGTTTAATTCTTAAAATCCCTTTGGACAAAATTTTCTGGGTAGTCATAGGCAAATTATATTGTTATAATTCTTCTAATATATAAATAGACAAATATTTAGTTATAAGATTCTAAAATATGAACTAAAAATTCATAATGGTGACGGAAAAATAATAAAGTAAAATAAAGGGAAAATGTTATGTTAACATGAAAAAAATAATTCATTTTCTATTTTTATTTCAGGTCTTTTTTAAATAATGGATTTTAGTACCTAATAAGTTTTATAATATAATATAATATAATATAATATAATATAATATAATATAATATAATACACCAGAAACAAAGCCTTCAAATGTGATTTGACTTCTGCTTCCTGGACATGTTTCCTGGGAATGAATAATAAAACTACTGTAAGCAGCTATATATATCATCAGAACAAGAATATTGCCGAGTCTAAGATACCTCTGCCAGGATAACTAAATAAATTCAGTGGTGAGAGAAAATCTTTACAATTACCTTGCTAGTAGGGATAAATAACTTACTAGTTAATTTCATAACAAAATTCTGATTTTTAATCATAGTGGTTTGATTGTGTTCATTAGTGGAATTTTATGATATCTTAATGTATTAACTTTAAAAATAATACTAAAAGGGGGTCAGGATTTACACTTACAATATTTTTATATTACTTTTTTCTTGGTTCTATTTTCATTGATATTATTTACATTTAGATAATATCATTGAAAAAATAAATTATATAATAACAGTTGATTACAGAGAATTAGAATATGATAATTTACCAATTTAATGCCACAGTGAAGGATATTGAATTTTAGTGTCACTTCTAGCATTTAATTGCTTAGTTCTCTATTTTTGCCTGTTCCAGGTCAAACAACTGGTGTAGAAATATATTTTATTGGAATCAGATACATTTGGGTTTGAATCCCATTTCTGCTGTGTGATTAATGGCAAATAATATCTTCACTATCCCTCCTGGCTCTTCCTTTCTTCCATCAACTGTACTCACTAAAAACACATGCGTCAAACACAAGGCCTGCGGGCCAAATCCGTCCCGCCAGGCCTTGCAATGTGGCCCGCACCGCGCTGTCATCACTGCACTCCGCTGCCTTTCCATCACAATGACAGTTTATGACTGTTCAGTAAACCATTCGGCCCGCGATTTAGGCTGGATTTTAGATTTTGGCCCCTTCTCTGATTGAGTTCGACACCCCTACACTAACTCATGGGCTAGAAGTTTGTGGTCTTGGGTAAATCAAAGAACTATTTCTCTGAATCTTGGATTGCTCATCTATAAGGTGAGTAGTTGTGAAATTTGGAGATAATACAAACATTGCTCAACATAATGTGTGACATGTGGTGATTAGTTAATAAATAGTAGCTATTATATTGTAATGATGTTGATGAGAGAAACTTTTTCCCCCCAATCCTTCAAAAGTGGGAAAAAGGAGAGAAGGTTGGCTTGTCCATCTTCTTTTTACAGGCTTGGAGGATTTCTGATTATTCAACCTCTGATCTAGGGGTGAATTGGTACACAGAGTTATAAGGAAAAAGGAGAAACAAGGAGTATTTTGTCCCAAATTATGTAGTGCAAA